TGTTGGAAATAAAATGAAGCTATAGCCACTGTAGGAGAAAAATAATGAGGCCAAAAAAAGTTACTGTCTGAGCAACACCTCATATTACTGAGTTTATATTCCAGTTTAGATGTATTAATACTAAACTTGTTAACTGCTGGTAGCAGATCATTACATTCTCAGCTGCTATTCACCTTTTCATGGCAGAGAGTGCAGTCTCTAAAAACAGCGGCTCTCCACAGAAACCAGACTAATGAAATGCTTTTAAGCGAGGTAGCACCTCATTAATGTATTCAGAACCTCGCGCTCATTCAGTGGAGGAGAAACTGTGGGATAAATTAGATCCTTAAGTGAGGAGTTAATTTACAGGAAACACAGCTGAACAGTTCTGTAATGAATTTAGGATGCGTGTACAGAGAAATGGACTTCCACATCAGGTTTTACTGACTGGATTTAAGCAGCTGTGGTTGGTAAAGAAAGGGCTGTTGCCTGATATTTAAAAAAAACAAAACAAAAAAAACCCCAAAACGCTATTTTGGAAAATGCTAATTCTGAAGTTTTGTTTAGATTAACTCTCCACTACAAGCCTGACTGCATTTGTGCTTCTGTTAAATGTTGTGGAGTAGGAACACTTAACCAGCAGTCTGACGATTAGCTACTGAATGCAATTTCTGGAGAAACATGGTGGCATTGCTGCCTGTTCAGATGTGCAGAAAAAACAGATGAATTGTTTCTGTTTTGTGTGTGTTCCGTAACTTTGCGTCTGTGTGTTGTTGTAACCACTAATATATGTGCTACCATTCTCCTAATACAAGTCAGTTAAACATTGTCTTAAGTCATAAGAAGCAGTGGTGTGTGTGTTTGGTTCAGGGAGTTGGGGCCTGGAATTAATTTTCTATGATCATAAGCTGTTGCCCTCTTCATAACATTTAATATGTTTTGAGGGGATTGTGTCAAGGGCTTGGGAAATGTCTTATCCAAAACATCACAACTGCCTGTTGTTGGTGTTCAGCGTTTCAATATCGTCCCAATACGCTTGATATTGATTTCCCTTCCAAAAGCTCTCAAGGTAATTGTGAGTGGTCATAACTGATTAATGGGGTTGAAAAGAAGAAATAAAACACTCATACACATTGTTGATTTTTTAAATTGTTTTTTAATTCTCTACTCCTAACCATAACCCTCTCTTGTACAACACTGGATCACTGGCTAAAATGTCTCTTGCTAATAACTTAATAAGGAGCCCTTGACCCACATTTTTGGAAAGCAAAAAAAAAAAACATTGGAAATTAAAGCTTTAATGTTTGACAGTGTGACATATTTTATAATTTTCTACGTTTTTAGTGGCAAATCTTAATTATCAATTGAACTACATTGTGGTTTCACTTTGACTCTCAGTGGGGCTTCAGTTTGTGAGTTAACTAGTGAGATTGCTATTTGTCTTTTTACAAATAAGAACACAAAATCTGTATCTCTAAAGTGTACTAATTGACATGCTATATTTCAATTGTTTAATCTATACAAAAACCAAAGTGTGACTTTTTTTTGGACTCTAGCTTTTGCCTTTGGAAAAAAGTTAGGTATTCTTTGGAGTCATAGGTGTGAAATAATAAAGAATAAATCTGTAAAATAAATTAATAAGTGATCAAAAGAATAGAATTACGAAGAGAAAAAGACAAATAGAATTGCATTCATGTATTTGCTCACTATTTCTGTAACTGGTTTCTGTTAGAACTCTGGCTGCAGCATTTTGCATCAGCAGCAGATTTTTTTTTAGAGAGTTATTGCTACAGTCTGATTAAAAAGAATTACAATAGTCCAGCCTAGAAGTTACATATGCATGGACTAGCTGTTCAGCATCACCCTGAGTCGGGAAGTTCCAGAATTTGTCAATACTATGCAGGTAAAAGAAGGTCGTCCTACAGACTTGCATTATGTGTGACATATCCTGATCAAAACTAACTCCAAAGTGCATTACAATACAACCGAAGGCCAAAGCAATGCCATCTACAGTAACTATCTGGTGAGATAATATGTTTCTGTGGTGCTTAGGACAGAAATTTACAAGTCATCCAGTCCATAATGTCCATAGGACATCTCTGGAGCTTGACAAACTCATTAGTTCAACCTGGCTTTTGTAGATAAATATAGCTGGGTGTCACCAGCAAACAATGGAAATTTAATGCATTGTTTCATAATAATATTACCTAAGGGAAGTATGAATAAGGTAAATAGTATTGGCCCCAACACAAAACCCTGTGGAACTCCATAACTAACTCTGGTGTGAGAATCTGGAGTTAATCTGATAAATATGATTTAGACCAGTTTAGTGTGGTTCCTTTAATCCCAATAACATGCTCCAGTCTCTGTATAAGATGTTGTGATCCACTGTATCAAGTACAGCACTGAGATCCAACAGGACAAGTATCAAGATGAGTGAGATGATCACCAGAGACTTTCACCAGTGCTGTTTCTGCACAATGATGCATTCTCAATTATGACAGAAAATCAGATGTACACGTGGTCACATAATTGGATTGCAACAGCTTTCTCAAGAATTTCAAAAATAAAAGAGAAGCTGGACATGGGTCTATAATTGGCTAAAACACCTGGATCCTGGATTTTTGAGTAGTGGTTTGACTACAGCAACTTCAGAAGCCTGAAGAGAAATAGAGAAATGAAAAAAACTCTGGGAGTTCACAAATAGGTATAGGTCAGCTACTTTTAAATCACTTGTGTTGTAAATGGATTCATTTTTGTCATTTCAATGTAACTGAAGACTGAAAGAGAACATTTGTTGGTTAATACTGTGTTTTTAAAAAATGGATCTATATCAACACATTTTTGTCGTAAAAATCCCCCAAAACATGCATTTTCTATAAATAATCGTAAGGGGTATTTAAGTATCACAATGTGTGAACAGTTTATGATGTACCATGCTGACCTGTTTGCAATCATCATTGAAATCTTTGACCATTAAAACATGAGCAGGCTCCATTACTGTGTCATCATGTTTTATTCAGGAGATATAGCGCAAAATACACCATTGTGTCAAGAATGGAAAATAAAATGGCCACCTTGGCTACAATGAGGTGTTTTTATGATGACTCCATTTCTGAAAATGATCAAAACTGTGCAAGCTTACTGAGATTCACACTTTTGTCCCAAAGTGAATATTTTCCTGGACTAGTAGAACTCACCTGGACGACTAAAGTACAGGTAGAGCTAAATTTAATTCAAGTACAGTGCTTGACTCCATCACATCAAATGCCACCACATGCAGCTGCAGTGTGAAGTGCTGGCAGAACTACTAACAGCCTAACACTACACCAACAGAACCTAATCCCTGTCCCCTTTGTCACCACAGCACTGAGTCAAACAGTGTCATGTTCAGTTGACCCAGGCTGGGCGTAGGTGTTTTGTGTGTGCGCGCTGGCTGTGCATTGCAGCAGGTAGGTAACAGGTAATGGAAAGACACATTAGGTGTGAGGTGGAACCTGAAGCCCCAGAGACAGACAGACAGACGTACAGACAGTGGGACTGTGACACCTTAGAATCGCATGTCAACTACCTCAAAGTAATTCTTGTGGAGCTGCTGGAGCAGCGAGGGTGAAGTTATGAATTAGTAATGCACCGCTGACACATTTCCAAATACTCCCCTTGTGTGAGGCTAAATGTCTGTGTGGTCACGCTTCTTAAAAACACAGCAGCTTTTCAAAAGAGACTGTGAGGAGCAGCGTAAATATGTATTGTGTGAGACTTTTATGAGGTAACTGACAGAGTAACAACATTTGAAATCCATTGTTTTTGTTACATAAACAGTCATTTCATCATATGCTGTGTACTTGTAAATCCATTAGAAGTTGAAGTTCTACCAGAAAATGGTTTGTTTCTTTTGTTCTTTATTTGTTTTCTTGTTGAAGCTCTATTCTTGTGGCCAGTGTTGATAAGCAGGAGAATAATAGAGATTTTAAGCTTAGATATCAACCACACTGTAAACTGGGTGTGTCTGCTTTAGTGACAGAGAGACAAGCTGTCCCACATACTTGAGGTAAGGATTATACCAGAACACATATCCCACTAAACAACTCTATACAATCAGTGTCGACAAGTTTGAGTCCAACATATATGTTGTTGGTTATCAGAGACAGGAAATGTTCTCTTTCTGTCCCTCTCAAACAAACCATTCTTGTAAAATGAGAGCGTTCCCTGCCCCAGTAACTAAAGCACCCAGTTTGACTGGTTTCTGTTGAATGGGTTGAGCAAGCAATACTCAAGTTTCACAACAAGGAAATCACAATGGAGATTGGGAACAACAGACTTAGAGGCATAAAAGTTAAAAAGAAACATGAAGAGTAGCATTATTAGTATGTATATATGTCAGGCCACCCCCGATATTACCTCTATCAGAGCAGGAAGATTAGAGGAAATTGGCTTATTTGGATCAGAACCTCTGTATGTACAACTACATAAAAAAGCAAAATTACAATAAAGACATAAAAACAACTAAAGCAAGGCACAGAATGACCAGAAAGTGACACACAGCAAACACAAAGAGACACAAACTGACAGTAAAGATACACAAAATCACCATAAAATGACCACTAATGCATAAACTACTGTAGATTACAAAGACGCAACATGACCACCAAGATGTGCAAAACAACTAGAAAGAAGTGGAGAATTACCAGAGAGAGAGACGAAAATAAATACAAAGAAATGTGTCACACTACAATGAGACAACAAGTCTACAAAGTCAGATAAAGCAGCTACAAAGTGAAGTCATGTGGCCACTAAGAGAAGCAAATCATCTACAAAGAGAGACCACAAAAGTGCAACCTGATGACACCGAATCATAAAACCATAAATTGATACAAAATTACCAGAAAAAGATGAAAAATGATTACAAACCATGCAGTATTGTCATTTACCATCACATTTCTTAGTCTGGGTGGTTTGTTTCCTATGTAGGAGGAAGATTTGTGTCCAGGGACTTGCTGTGTAATAATCTGTATGCTAGGTAGAGTATATAGCAGCTGTTTATTGATTTTCTTTTATATATTAATATTTACAGCATTTATTTGACCTTCATTACAGTTGATATTGAATAATTCAAGTTGTCCATGGTGTAGAGTTGATCACTGCCATGTACCAGGGCTTTAAATAGGAGTTCTAACACATTTATATCCATTTTCTAAATGCGATCCTCTTCTTCAAAACTGTCTTGGTCTGTAGCCCACCAAGTCCAGAAGATTGTAGAACAGCTCCCAGGTCTGAGGTGCTCAGCATACAGATGTCTTTCCAGATTAGGGTTCCATGTTTCTCCTTTTTCAGATCGGAGTTCCATGTTTTTTGGCTGGTGAAGCAAGAACACAATCCACAAGCGTGATCGAGTCGAAGCCAAGCTTTTTCACCCTACAGAAAAAAAGAAAAAGAACAGTGTTCTTAAAGCTAAAGCCTTCATTTTGTGATATGTCTTACTTTAAATATGAAGATGTGCACCTGTAGCTGTAGCTTGGGTTCCATTTTCCAGCACTGATGATTAGAAAACTCCTTCGTGCAGCAAATGCAGAACAAAGAAAGAACCTCATTTGGGGAGAAAGTCTTCCATTGGCACCTCTAGGTTTCCTAGATACCAGAAGATCCAGAACACCAGGCTGAGGAATATTAGGACTGACCCAGAAAAGACAAAGAAATCCCAGAAGCTGAGGGGAGCAGCGACCCCAACAAAAAACAGGATGAGGCCTATTACATCCATGAGGATGGCAAGAGAGAAAAACAGCAGGCAGCGGCCAACATAGGCAGAATACTCCATGACACATGTAGTTGTTATTCAAAGCTTTACCGGTTTGTTTGTCTGTCTGTCAAACACGAAAGAAGTTAGGAGTAAAATTAATTCAGAAGCGTTGCTTCCTCCCTTCACCGTGCCGCCTGTGAGTCTGCAGTGAGGCTGATGAGAAGGAAGAGTTTAAACACTCGGGTCACATTCCTTTCTGTATCTACATCTCACATTTTTCACATGACACCGTCTGACAGACGAAAAATATGTTTCCTTAATGATGACAAGAGATTTTCTGGCTCTATCGCTGGATGTGCCTTCATTTCATAAACATTTTTTGCTGCTGTACTGACGGATTGAGGCCTTATCTCAGGCCTACAGGTGGATTTATAAAAGCTGAAATATATTAGCCACAAATTTGCTCCATAAACACATTTTTGCATGATTTGAAATAAAATAGGTGGAGAACTTATTAGATGCTGTTTACACACTTCAAATATTAACATAAAAAACATGATAATAGGAGAAAAATCAGCCTCCTGACCGCATACAAAAGATGTTAAACAACAAACTTGAAACCGAGACAAGGAAGAGGAGACAAGGAACAACAACTCCTTTGCGTAACTCACTGCATGGGTGTTCCTGTGTTGTTATCAGGCACCAGACACAATCAGTCACGCACAAAACAAACAAGTCAAACAATGACTACATCTATTCTATTTGAACTTTATTCCCAAGAAAAATAATTTACATTTGCCACAAATCAGCGCATAAAAATAGAAAATTTACTATGTACATAATAAAGACCTTTTCTTCCTCTGTGCACAGCCCTTCTGCCTACTGTAGATGCAGGGCTTTTCCCTGATTAAGAAACTGTCTTCCCTATTTAAAAAAAAGTGACTTTAGTTTACAACTTTATGGTTTTCAGTCTTTTAGGGTTCTTTGAAAAACATCCAAGAGGGGAGCCTGTTCTTCAAGACTCCTGGAAAGCCAGACATCACCTGTGAAGAAGAAGAGAAAAGGTTTTATTTCTTCCATCCATCCATTATCTAAACACTGCTTAATCCTCACTAGGGTCGCGGGGGGCTGGAGCCTATCCCAGCTGACTTACGGTGAAGGCAGGGGACACCCTGGACAGGTCACCAGTCTATCACAGGGCTACACTTAGAGACAGACAACCAAGCACACTCATATTCACACCTACAGACAATTTAGAATCACCAATTAACCTCAACATGTTTTTGGACTTGTGGGAGGAAGCTGGTGAACCCGGAGAGAACTCACGCTGCAAACTCCACACAGAAAGACGCAAACCGACGACCCTCTTGCTGCGAAGCAACAGTGCTAACCAACTGCGCCACCTTGCAGCCAGTTTTATTTCTTGATACAGGTTAAAATTTTGATACTGTAAAATAATGTCAAGGCTGTGAAACAAAATAATAAGAGGCACTTTTATAAGACATTATTAATCTGGAAGATTTGCCCCTCTGAAATTAACATTAATAAAAAACATTTAAAAAGCTGTGTTTCCTGAGAAATAAGAGCCAAAGGAGTGTAACAATTTCAGTGGATTGCAAAATTAACAACAGATGTGGAGGATATTTTATGTTGCTGTAAATATGCTCACCCACTATACTGTTCAAGTATGTGAAATACAGATAGATTTTAAAAAAATAATCAACTGTGGAAAGGCATTGTTGCATGCACTTTCATAATAATTTCATAACAGGGTAGTAACAAACTGTAGTTCTCATTTTGCTGTAGTATAGTTGCTACAGGGTTTGGAAGCACTGGACCAGAGCTGTCTTCTTTAGTAAATGCAGTGCAAGAAACTAATCTTGCATCAACTTTAGGGTAAATATATATATATATATATTTTTTTTTGTGTGTTGTTTTTCAATTTAACAATCCGTTTCTTAAGGTTCAAGGTAGCGTCTTTAGATTTATTGTTCTGTCCAACTAACAGTCTAAACTCCAAACATATTTTGCTTATTATCACATAAGATAAAGGAAAGCAGCAAATCCTACCAACTGATGGGCTGCAACTTAGAAATGGTCGACATTTTGGCAAGAATAATTACATAAAACAATAAACGTTCTTGTTCATAAGAATTGATAAGATAAGACGTCTTTCAGGTTTATCCAGGCCACAGTGGTAGGAAGGTCTTTAGGGAAACCATGCAATTGATGAAATAAATGGTTTATCCTTAAATTTACATGCTGCGCCACAAATACAGTAATTATATTTGAAGGCACCGCAACATTTTACATGTTCCTTTGGGGTTTCTGGAAACCTAAAAGTAGTACAAGATTAATTATATTGATATTAGGAACTACACTAATTTGCTTTAAGACCATAAGACCAATATAAATTTCATACAGACAGTTAGCGAATTAGCCTAGCTTAGCATAAAGAATAAAAAGTAGAGGAACAGTGCTAGCTTGGCTGCATCCAGAGTTCAGAAACGTCCCTACAGGCACCTACAATTTAATCTATTTAAATTGTGCATAAACAGGAATACATTTTTTGTACATTTTTGTAAGTTGTAACTGTTTGTTGATGCATAACAGTTACCCAGTTTAGCACAGGTTGCACAATTTAGACGACAATAAAGAAATGCTTATAATATTTAACATAAAATCACAAATTGTCAGGAGTTACTGGAAGGCACACGTTTGTGTTTAAAAGAAAATCAGGCTCGCTAGTTATTTCCCACCGTGTAATGTTTTAAGTGCCAAAGCAAAATGCTGTTTCAGGTTATTGACTGTATATATAAAAGATAGATTGAATAGTGAATACTGATAAGGTAGCACCGCCATATAACATATCCTGCTCTATTGACTATTTAACTCGAAATGGGGTCACAATTTACTAAATAAACACCATGCCGTATTGACAAAGACATCAAACTATCCATTTAAGGCCATAAACTCATTAGGACAGTGTTTCCTGAGGTATCAGATCAAGTGAGAAGTAGAATTATCTTTCCATAGACTTCTATACAATCAGAATTATTTTTTCTTGAAACCTGAAAGGAAAAAAAAATCAAGTTTAAGATGCTTCTACACTGACTTCATTTTCCAGACCATCTTTTGGACAGCTGCAGTCCATGTTCCAGCTATACACTTAATGTCAAACTTAAGAATAGTGGGCTGCCAATATTCTCACCTTACTGTCATAATGAAAGCAGATACGTGTATTTTCCACAATATTCAAGTATCCCACCATACAACCACACTAAAACACTACACAGTCAGTTTAACATTACCAGCCTTCTCTTCAGCCTACACAGCATGTGCCAATGTGGCATGTCACTTAATCCTGAACCTAATCTGCCTCCGTGTTACAAAACTGTTGTGACATCATTTAGTGAATGCAGTGAAATATCTGCTTACTGCATCCCTACGTTTGAGCATTTCACTGTTCCAACAATTGCGATTCACACAAGCTACTGTCAAATCTGAGAGATAAACATCTCACGCTATGACCTATGATACGGAGAGACGGGGGTTGCTACAGTTGCAGTGTTGTCTTTAGGCGGAGTCCTGTGTTTGCTGGAGGAACATACACTGATAAAACTTCTATTATTATGTGCTCCTGTTGCCAGGAGTTCAGAAATATTAAGGTTTTATTTCTGTAGTGCAACTCCACCCAAACACAGCATGTGAAACCTGAGCTGTATTGTACTTTAAACAGCTTAAGTATTTGAATTTCTTGTATATTAGCTACACCTTGACTGATACATGGAGCTTTGAGCCAATATTGATGTCGATATTTCAGGATATCCATATATGACATGAAGCACAGACATTTTAAACTTATTCGGTAGCAGACAAACTAATTAACAATGGTACTCCAACCTGCTAAAACTGTATCTTCTTTTGTAAAGACTACTAAACAGAACATAATGCATGATATTAGATCATATATTCAGATTTCCTCATACAAGCGCTCTTTCTTGTGGTAGTTTCAAAGCTTTTATGGCTACTGGGACATGTTTTCATGGATAAACCACCTTTTTAGCATTTCATTGACGTGTATATTTAACAAGATGACTGTATGTTTAATGTAACCACACTGTGAAATTGTCTTTTCGCATATCCCAGTTGGAGTCAAAGGGCAGAGTCAGCCACGACAAGGCACCCCTGGAGCAGGCAGGGTTAAGAGGCTTGAACCCCCGATCTTCTCAATAGTAACCCAGAGCCTCAACTGTCAAGCCACCACTGACCACCACAACATTATTGGGGTCTAATATAAAGATATTTAGTCATTTAAAGTTCACCCAATAAATGTAAGCGAACCCCAGTTAAAGAATGTTGTGAAGTGTTGGGAGCACTACCCAGAAAAATCAGTGACATGCCCTCAGTTTTGTCTCTCAGTGCTCTTCTGTCTCACATTTAACAGAAAAGTTACAGCACAGAGTCCAGCCTCAGTATGCAGTGTTCACTGTTGTGACCACGTCAGGACCGTATCTGATGATCATTAGCCAGGTTAGATAATATGGGAATCAGGGCAGGGCCCATTACAGTTAACTACCTGGAACCGGAGGATGGGAGGAGTGGAAATGAAGCAGACGTATATACGATTCCTGCATTTGGTGGCAGAGTGAGGTGAGGAGGCCCAGCCATACCTATATCCACCCTCCTACCACACTCCATTCCACTGGATCAATAAGCGCCGCTGAGTTCCATTAAAATGCAATCGTGCCTGCTGCCCCAAAGGGTGTCTGGCTTGCCACCCAGTTACAAGCAAACTGATGGCTAAAATAATGCAGAACTGTGAAGGTGAGCAGAAACGGTCAGGCTCATTAATTAAAAGCTGCCACGGGCCACTGAAGATCTTTTCACAGCAGCCGGGGAAAGAAAAAAAAAAAAGATTATTACAGATATTCATGAGCATAGTGCCAGGAAGGGTCCTGGAGGGTTTGGAAAGTGGAGGGTGAGTATGAGGGTTCCCATTCCTCACGACCGGCTTCACTCTGGGTGTCATCTGATCTCTGACAATAATGTGAGACATTTCATAATTATGGCTGGGGTGAGAGCAAAGGGAAGGCTGCTATGCCAACGTGCAGCACAACCAGGATGCCAGCAGTAATGATGAAAGAGTTACAGCTGTGGCAGTGAGCCGCTAATGACAAGCAAAACAACAGCAGACTGACAGAAAGGGTGAAAGCAGGCCAATGTGCTGAATATTTATGACTTTCAATTATGATTGTTTGTTAGCTCCACAGGCCCAGACTTTCAGAGGATCATACATTTTTCAGAGGCTTGCTTTTACCTTTTACAGAATGTAACAGGTTATAGTGTCAGAAGATTAAGTAGGTTAAGGGGAATGGGTTTTCACAGCCTCAACAGCACTGAGCAAGTTACAATAATAGACTCCAGACAGAGATGATGTTGAGGTGGCCTCGGGTTAGCTGAGGAGAAGGAGGATGAGGGGAAAATACGCACCATCTCCTGTCAGAGGAGCCTCTCTGCCTTATCAACCACCGCCTGCAGAGCCACGTCTGAGCTCGTCAACACCCCCAACTCCACGTTTTTGTCAGCTGGAGAAGAGCACTCAGTCCATCCATCAAACCCCCTGTTGTCGTGACACGGCAGGACTCTGCCGCCGCCGTTGCCGTCTTCCCACGTAATCCGAGAGGGCGCGCAGACCGGCACAGATCCGTTCATCTCCTTCCCATTCCCAATGCTCTTCTTCTTCTTCTGCTCCCCTGCTTCCAGAGGCTTCACGCCGCCTTTGGAAAGCCTCTCGGACAGCTTCCTGGCCCAGTGCGTAAAGTTGATGTCCAGGGAGCCCGTCTTATCCTCCGCGTACAGCTGCACGTTCCCCGTGTACCAGAGCACCCACCACACCAGGCTCAGGAAAATAATGACCGAGCCCGTGTAGATGAGGAAATCTCCATAGAAGCGACCGTCCAGGTTCAGATTGCCGAAAATCCCGACCAGAAGAACAATGAGACCGATAGCGTCAAAGACCAGGGCGAGGAAGAAGAGCGGGGCGCAGTTCCCCACACAGCTGTGGGCCATACCGGAGCAGAGGCAGCGGCCCGAGTAACGGCGCTGAGCAGCTCAACTTATTTTGCAGGACGCACATTTCCACCTGTGTGGTGCTCACCTGTGCGCAGGCCCCGCCCTGATTCCACGTCACAGTGTCCAAGTGGGCTCCGAATATCAACATGTTGCCTTCAGGGGCGCAGAGTACGTTTCCCTGTTCCACCATTTGGGACCCAAAGTTTTCACAGGAGGAGGGCAGACTGAAAAACTGAACGCAGTTTTTGGATGGTTACAGCAGAGAACCTTTGCAGAA